GGTGCAGAATTGCATTCATGTAAAAAGGTAAAGAGTTGAAACTGAGTGCAGCCATTTTTGCTGTGACAGCGGTGCCGGGGGTTTTGATCCATTCTCATCTCTGAATTCAAATCCTCTTTGCCTGATTTTTTCTTTTGAAACCAACAACATGTGATTCGAGGTGGTTTTGTGATTAGACCTCATTCGCAGACAAAGCGGTAGGATGTTTGTTCATGAAGGTACGTGGTATGCAGGAGTTAAGCGCACCCCGCGCAGCAGTGAGCACAGTGCTGCTGAAAAATTTCCAGTTATACACACAGGCAGCACATTGGTAGCATGTAGAAAATCGGCAGCAGACAATTGCATATTGGCACCAGTATAGGTAAAGAGTCATTTTACATCATTTTGCAGCATATAGGGACACCGTAATATAGAGGAGTATTTATTTTACAAACATGTAGTATATAGGTAGCACATGAGTATTTTGTATGGGCTGTAAGGTACAAGGGGGTTTGGTTGAAAAAAATCATCGTTATCGATTATTCGCTGCACTGACAAAACTTATTCATGTCTTCTCAATCTGACATTTTCTCAACCTTACATTCACCCAACCTCACATTCTTTGACCATCACATTCACACCCAACCTCACATCGTCTCGGCCTCACACACTCAACCTCACATCGGCCGACGCACAACCCACATAGGCCACCAGGGAAAAATAGCAAAATCTATTGAGAACATGGCAAAAAGGAAGTACCTTGGGAACAAATGGAAAAGTAAGAGTAAACAATAGAGGTTTGAAAAGGACAAGAACAGGGAAAAACATAGCGAAGAAACTGGCAGGGAATAATTGCAGAGCTTCGCACACTGTCGATGCTGTAAAGGTGAAAGTTGTGCTGTGCTGGCTTGATTTGGGGCTGTGTGCCTACACGGCAAAAGGATGGCCGAGATCCCATCAAAAGCCATGCGAAAATCAAACAATTTCTCTTTTCTTATCGCTTCCAGACATTTTAGACATGACAGAGCGCAGGAAGGCATTGGAGCCAGAATTGGAACCAGTTCCAGGCGCCGCCCTGACTATAGGGTAGGGTCGGCGGACAAGGGAACAAAATAAGGAAGAAAGCAGGGAGGGAACAGGGAAGAAAATCGGAAGGAAAACAAGGACATACATAGGAAAGAAAAGAGATCAACATAATTAATACAGAAGAACACAGGCAAGAAGAAAAAGGAAGAAATCTGGGAGGAAGAGTGGGAAGAACATGGGGAAGAAAATGCAACGAAAAATCGTAAAGGCAATAGTAATAACAGCGGCGAGAAGAGCGAGAAGAAACTCAAAACAATAATGGGATAAAATCGTGGCCAAAAAAGGAAGAACGTAAGGAAGAAAAAAGGAAGAAGGCAGGCGTCAGTCGCCTCCGACTTCTTTGTGAAAGTATGAGGAAACGCTTGAAAGTTCTCCCTCTAATTCAGTAATCACGAGATTGCACATTACTGGCCGAATAATGATTTCCCCTCTGCTCCAGAGCACTTTGAACATAGCGCACGACAAAGACCAAAATTGTTTGCCAGTTTTTGCTGGTGTCTATCCAAACGGGACTTCAAAATTGTTTTGAACACTTGAATGCACTTTTTTGCCATCTTGTTTTCTCGGCAACCAATGGGTTTCCAACTGCGCAAGGTGAGGGTCCAGAAGTGGTTGCAGCTATCTCGAGAGCGCCCAACATGGGCCGATGAGTTCAATCCTTTGGTTGACTGGTGGGACTCCCACCGCGAGGCTTGGGTTGAAGTATGTTGAAGTCGAACAAGTCGAACATTCTTGGAATTTCTTGGATGTTGGAGCTGATGTGCTGAGGGATTCGCTGTGGCTTCTGTGGAAATGCCAGGGTTTGCTCACTGTCAAACATGCCCACTACTTCGACATTTACCACCGGCATTTGCAGCACTTCCGTGGCAAGAAGATGCATCTACTTGAGATTGGTGTGGCAAGCGGCGGTTCTTTGCAAATGTGGAAGGCTCGATTGTGGGACTTTTGTGTTTTGCAGCTGCAAGCTATGTAGCTAAACCCCACGAACAGACAAAAAACTTTTATGTTTGCTGCAATGGGAACAATTTTCTTTTCTCCTCCACAGAGGCTTCAGAGTCCACTATCATCGTATACAAGCTCTCTCTTCCATACTAAGCATTGTGTGGTGTGTTTGAGATCTTCACCCTTGTTTCTCTCGTGTTCGATGTCATTTTCTGGTGGAGTTCATTGTCTTTGATCACACCTACTCGTGTGATGCTTCAAACATATCATATGAACAATCATGTCTTTGAATGAAGCTGTTGCTTCTTGTGTGTTTGCGATCTCAGAGCACCCGGCCGAAAGAATATTTTATCCATCCCAAACATAGGAGACTGCTCGCTTCCAGGGAGCCCTTCCAAAAGAATTCCGAATGTATGCTACCCTTCCTGAATCCCAAGTTCGAGGCTTATTTCGGGCCACGTCTCCGTGTGACTGGTGTGGATTGCTGCCCTTTCTCTGGCATGAGAGGCGCTGGTGAGACCAAAATCCAATTGTGCCAAGGGGGTTCTATTCAATCTATTCTAGCGCAAAGATATTTTGATTTTTGATTTTATTTCTTGGATGGAAGGTCAACACGGTCAACACGTGCAAGTCTGGGTTTCTTAAGCACATGTGCGGCAGGCGAACTTGAAGATCACAGAACATCCATATGGATTGGAAATCAAGAAGATCCACAGTTTTGGGATGAGTTGGTTCAATCCGTGCCACCAATCGATGTCGTTATTGATGATGGAAGCCATGTGGGACGAATGCAGCTGGAGGCATTTCAATCGCTCTGGCCGTATTTGGCACCTGGAGGGGCTTACATTGTGGAGGACATGATGTTTGCCTACATGGACATGGCAAGCATGGCAAGCAAGGAGACAGAGCTTTCAGAAAGCTTTCATAGCTTTCAACGTCTTTCATAGCTTTCAACATCTTTCAGCTTTCAATTAGTATGACTTTATGATTTATTATAAATCATGGTTGTTTTGGGTGTTGGCCTGGAAAGGCTTGAAAACAACAGGTGTTCGCTCCAATGCTCCCCCCTGAGGATTCTGACTTTTTCAAAGGTCATACACATTGGGTGGAAAAGCTGAAGCACTTGATGGACGAGATGCAGACAGGCTCCACCTTCCGATTTCCTATGTCCACCGGGCGACAGTGACTGACCAAATGCAACACATGTTCAATATTTATGGAATCAATCAAACATATTTGGAGCATCAACAAGATTTCTTTTCTCACGTCGGTCGATTGTTTCGGCCTGTGACCCGCAACCGGCACACAAAAACATGGCAAAACTCAGACATTTTTGGTTCAGCTGTGTGTAACACAGCCAGAAGATCTCGAACCGGAAAAAAAGCTTAACAAACAAGAAACCACAACCTAACGGCATTTCGGGCGAGTGAAAAAATGGTTTGCGATTTCTACGTTACTTTGATTTGCTTGTCCAGGAACATAACACACGCCTAGCCGTCCCGGGCGTTTGTGCAGGTTTTACTGCTGACAGCAGGCTCAAGGACGGGTCCAAGTTCGAATCAATATCGTGAATCACCATCGAGTTATGTTTTTTTTTTTATGTCCGAAATCCTCCATATTTCCTCCTGGGTGCTGCTTATTGGTTCTGCTGCTTTGCAGGACTCTGTGGCATCTATCCGCGGCATCCATACATACAGACACCTCTGCGTTATTGAAAAATATGATCGGGGCCAAGGCCTGTGCACAGTTGAATTAAAGGTTGAGGCATGGTGTTAGAGCTTGGATCCAAAAAACATTTTGATATGCAGCAAATTTGTTCTTTTTGTTGTTAATGAATTAAACAAACCTGAGCTGTGGTGACGACGATGATGATAAGGAGGACCACGATGATGACGATGACTATGTTGAGGATAACATAGGATAATGATAACATGACCACGCCGACAACCATGATTGGATGCTAGTGCTAGGGTCGATTGCACCACAGCAGGTGTTGTGTTGCTGGGGATTTGAAATTTGAAACATTATTTTTGCTCGATTCGAGTAGTGGTAGGTAGCAATTGTAGTAGTGTTGATAGTGGTAGCAGTGGTAGTGACAGTAGTTACATAGTAGGTGTGGTTGTGGTGGGTGTTGATGGTCCCATTGGGGTGGGGTGGTTTGGTCTGCAGCACCTGGCGGAGCGCCGTGGTAGAGTCGTCATGAAGTCGCTCAAAGCTCCAAAGTATAGTATGACAGTTGAACCAGCGCCGCGATTTTTAACAGCAGATCTACACTGCAACGTTTTCATCCACACTCAAAAATGCATAAGAACATATTCCATTCTGCTCAGCTGCTACATGCCCTACTGCTCATTTGCCGGTTTGCTTTTGCAAGGAAAGAGGGATGGGCGCTTCTGACCCGTTGTTATGCTTAGCCGCTTAGCCGCTTAGCCGCTTAGCCGCTTAGCCAAGGCTTAGCCTTCCTTGGCTTTTGAATTCTGGTGAATCACCATGTGGCTGACAACATATTTGATATATTTGCAATGAAGATTTCCTGCCATTCCAATGATCTGCTGTGTACAGTCAGATGTGCAATGGGGAACCACAAGGCAGAGCTTTCAAACTTGCCAAGGAGCTGATGTGGTACCGGGGTACTTCAATTCAGATGCCATGCAGCAACAAAGCAGACGTAGGGGGTTTAGGATTTTGACTCATTGCGCGAATGCGCTTCGATTTTCTGTATATCCACCTGAGCGCACAAGACAATGCCATAGATCACAGGCAGCAAGGCAGCAGTAAAAACCTCCAGCACCGGAGAAATATTCCTTGCGACAGTGATACAAAAACGGCCATCTAATATGGCAAACACTTGGGTCTTTGCATGTTCGATGGGTTGTTCTGCAGGAATTGCGTCAGGATAGACTTTTGTTGGAGCGTGTCCCCAAGTGCTTAAGTGTGAGAAAGCGTGGTAGTTGGGCTTATTTTTCACGTTGGGTTTTAAGCTGCACAACGTGTTCTCAAATTGGACCCCAGGATATGCTGGGTTGCTGTTTGAGTCTCATGAGTTGCTTTGAGTTCTTGGTCCCAGGACTTCGTGGTTTGGTGCATGACTGGGACGTTTTGGAGGTGGGTGCTGGTGTGCAAGCACCTGCCTTGGCCGAGCACCATGTCGCTTGCACTCAAAAATCAGAGCCTTTTGTGTCACAGGGGACTATCCACCAATAGGTTGTTACAATTACACCGGTGACACCCTCATTGTAAATGCCATTTTCATCCATTTTCTGTGGTCCGAGAAATTGAATTGTCACCGACTCTGCTGCATGTCCACCCTCGGCACCGTCTTGAGTTTGCAGTCTTTGCGAAATGTTTCGAACTGCTCAACATTTCAACATGTTTTATCGTCACAGCCAGTGTCGTGTGTATCGTGCAAGGCTCCGCCGCCTATCATGTCTCATCCTGATTGACGCACACGCCACAGACTTTGCCATGGGAGATTTGGTGGATCGTGGTACAGGTAGCTGAGCGCGGCTTTGTGGAAGGATTACCTTCAGGAGATCAGAGCGAGTCGAATGGCACCTCTACATTTTAACTTCAAGCAGATAAGAAGAGATGTGCCCGTGCTACGCGAATCTTCGAGTTGAGAAGATGCAGACGCAAAGGAACCTAGCAGTTCAGACTTCTGGCTAGCCCAGGACTGCTAGCAGTTTGGCCTGCAGGGCCCATTCTTTCTAAATCTTGTAAGCGGTTTATGGCCAGTCAAAGAACAACCTAAAAATGGTTGAATTCACTGGCAGAAGAAGTTTGGAAAAAACTGACAAGAGTGACCCTGTGAACAGCCACGAGCACACTCTATTTGTGGAATTGCCATGAATTGCCAACGTCAAAGCTGCTGAATCCCACTCCTGGAAACTGGAATTTCAAGGTATAGTAGGACATGCATTTTGGTCCTAGCTGCTTACCAAGCGTCCAGCAAGAAATCCAGTGGCAACAATGCACTTTGGTGTCATCGACTCTAACCGCTTGCAGCTTTTCAATGCCTTTCAGAATATAAAACCATGCGAGGTGTTGTATATCTTGCAACTCACTCTGAACGTCCACCACGCAGCCAGCCGCCGCTCTTTTTGGGCTGGAAACTCATGTGCACAGGGATTAGTGAACATCATTGGGACTCTGTGGCATGGCCGAACAGAAGACCAAACTGAATTCCATGGTACCCAAATTACCCAAAACTGCTCTCGTCTTGAAACTAACAATGGTCTCTTGCAGGACTTGGGCAATGGGTGTCATGATAGTTCTCTTGGTGTCCAATTTATCCGATGTAGTAAGTTGAAGCAGACAATCACAGACCAAGTTTTCTAGCTCACTGCGGCAGCAATGCCTTTGGCGTCTCTGTTCGGTTCACACCCATGTGAGCGACACGGCTTGCCAGAATGCGTCTTGCCCCACACTGATGTGCTGGAAGGAAAAACGGCATCTTGGACTTGGATGAGTTCAGAACATTTTTGTGGTCGATTCCAAGCTGCGATGAAACATGAGCAGTTTGAAAGAACAGATGGACTGGATTTTTCAATATTTTGATACTTCTGGTTTCGCAGTAGCTGGAATTGTGCAGGATTTCTATCGGCAGCTGCAGGGACGAGAGGGGAACGTAACTTCGATTTTGGCTGCGCATTCCGTCACCTCGTTCCCTTCATCAAGCTTCGGATCGCTGCTACCAAAGGAGGGGTCGTCAAGCCTGAAGAGAAAAGGGACGAAAAGGGACTAGGATAATAAAGATGCCACTGTTTGTTGGACCTGTCGCGCAGTTGTTACAGGCCAGTACTGTGACAGCTGCAGAATCTGCAGCAGCTTTTGGCTACGTTGCCAGCCCAACCCTGGCCAAGCAAATCAACAGGCTGGGTTTTCTTCGTTATCTTGGTTCTTTAGCTTGTGAATGCCATTTCATGTCACTGTCCCTCTACTTCTGAGCAGCCAAGAGCTGTGAAAGCGGCGAGTACCTTTTTTCGCGTTGTAGATCCTCAAGCCTTAAGAACTGCAGGGAATTCTTTGATTAGCAAAGCCTCGTGTTCCAACCTTTGTAGTTTTCAACTGCAAGAGGTAGAGTGAGAAAGGTAAGCCACTGTTTCAGAGAGGTCAACAAAAGGCAACTTTTTGTGGCACAAAGCTATGAAGCACATCGCTGGTTGGCTTTGGAGGCTTATGCGTGCACAAAGCTGGAACGCCCTCATGTCCGAGATCCTCGCCTGCATTTAATTGCATTGCAGTGAACAACTTGCTGAATGCACTGATCTGCCGCCGACTACAGGTTTGGACCAGTTGTGAAGGCTCTTTCCGGCTACATAGAGAAAATGGAAGCGGTCTATGCTGCGAAGCGCACGCTCTTCCGCGGAATGCGCTTGCCTGAGCAACACCTGCAAGACAACTATGCGGTTGGCAAGATCATCAGCTGGCACGCATTTAGCAGCGTCACAACCAATCGTCATTTGGCAGAGTCCTACTATTCTGAAGACTACGATCGAGGTTTCTTTTTGGAATCTGGAGTTCCTGTGCTTTTCATGATCAGCACCCATTTTAGGGGAGCTCTGCTGGGTGGCTGGTCCCCTCATACATCGCACGATGAGCTGTTGCTTTCTCCATTCCTGTTCTTCCGGGTGACTTCCATCAGTGAGCTGTCTGGAAACGATCGTTTGAGAGTCTGGAGCTGAGCGTAAAATGGGAACATTCGGAAGAGTTTTTGTTTCATGATGCCATCATTGACAACATGTTGCATTGTTTTCCTGCAAATTTGCAGGTTATCAAGTTGCAAGTGGTGAAATTGCCACGGTCTTGGGCGGAGACAGCCCCTGATCGCCTTATGCTTCTTCACCCCAGCAGCATGCCATGGGCAGCGCAGCCCAAGGAGGCCTGGAATGTGTGCTCCGTCCAGATGCATAGGATGGCATAGGATGCATCTGCATCAAATGTAAACCTTGAAGTGGTCTGTGTTTGACTATGCACAAAATTACTTGGTGCAGTAAGAAGTTTCTTAGTTTTGTCAAAACGTAAAAAATGACTTCTGCTTACTGGATGTGTACTTTTTTTTAGTTGTGTTTCATAAAAGTCGGAACATTTAATCATTATGAACACATGGTTTTCTTGCAGTCAGTAAGCGGATTTTTACGGCTTACTCCAGTTCTTAGTCTATATATTATTGTGCAATGTAAATACCATATGACTGTCTACATATACCATTAAATACCCAGAATGGATTGCCTCAACCCTTGAAGACCTAGTTCCACTCAGGAAATGGCCTCTATTGAAGCCACTTCTCAGCCGCAGGTGCTGTCAGAACTGGAAGTGGATGTGGATGACGTTTTGAAGCGAAAATTGGATCCACCCGGTTCCTCGAGCTTTTTCAAACATTGCGGGGTTGGTTGATGATTCATCCATTCCCCGTATATAAGATAATATGATATTGAATACCCCTCAGTCTGGTCCACCAAATGAATAGGTCCAATACGCAACCTCATTTTCTGCCATAGTATTTAATATTGGGGAGAAGGGATTATACGGATTATAGGGGGGTTACCCTGCTACCCTGGTGAACCTTTAAAAACCTGGCAAATGGATGTTCCTCCCCAAAAATGCTGGTGATTATCATGGTCAATTGTGGGGATCCACATTACCCAGTGAAGGCAGGCCTGTCATTCTTGGCCCTGAAATGCTGAAGGCTGCAGTATACCGCCAAAGTGGCTAGTTTAATGGGGCAACTGAAACTGTATGATTGGACATCAAATCTGGGGCACTGTACCGTGATTGTACCCTATGTACCCTATTTTCAGACAAACGCTTGCTCGGTGTTGAGCTCAGGTGCTTTTCTGCTGTCCGTCTTTGTCGCTGTGACTACTATCATATTGCTGCTTCTGCAGCTTGTATTGCATGCAGTCTTGGTTTGAAGCTATGTTTCTGCAAGTTTGAATTGAAGTGAAAGTGGAGGCACCGAGCCACATTTGTTTGCTCAGGCATACTATGGGATACGATCTGGATGACTTTGCGGTGGGAAAACAAGGCTACTGATACATCACAACGACTTCCCTTCTCACGATTGGCAGCAGACGATTGTCCCAGGATCTGCGTACTGAGCAAGCTGAATGTCTTGTGGGACATAGGCAGGTTTGCGGAGCACCTGACATTCGCCAAAGTTTGCGGAACAGGCATCCTGCAAGAGCACTTGTTCGGTTGTGGAGCCAACGCCTCGAAGTTCGCGTGAAGATTGCGAGGGTCAAGGTGTCAAATTGTCCAATACCAGTGCTGCATGTGACAAGAGATGTTTGATGATAAAGCATGATAAAACATGATTGCCTGCACAAAGAAGCGTTGGAACATGTTGGAACACGTTGGAACATGAATATGTCACTCAGAAAAATGCAGCTGAATCTTAGGATCCCAGCGGTTTCCGCAGGTTTCATGACAGAGATATTTCAACATTTTTCATGTGAGGGCGGGGTTTGACTTGCACGTGGGGAAGTACTTTCTCCATCTTTCTCCCATGGCTTTCAAATGCTTTCTATGTGTTTGACTGCAACATGATAGTACAATAGATGTGTCCTGCCAATTCAAAAAATATCTTCTTGAATGTGCTCACTGTGATTCGATTTCACACTTTGTGAAGCCCATGACCATTGAAGAATTCAACACTGCATATTCCCCCAAAAGAATCTATTGCAAGAAGTACATCTCACAGTGCAAGCACTTCATGTGCATTTCCTGCCAGTGGGTTTTGTAGCGATGTCGTGCTTTGCACCAGCAACTGGCTTTGGCCTTGGATGTACTACCATCATTGATTTGTTCATGACTCATGACGGGTTGCGGATTCCAAGGATTTTGAATTTCCCTTTGACCTGTCGGCATGGAAGAAGGATATTCCAGAATATTCTAAATACATACGTATTGCGTATGGTTAAGTCGGTCAAGTGGACTCTTTGCCCGCCTACTGAAAGTACAGCCAGGGGTGAACATCAAACCAGACTCCCGTGGACCATCTCAGCAGTCCACTGCAACTTAAAGGAACGCTTGCACAGTCACTCCACAGTCACTCCACAGTCACTCCACTCACATTCCACCTTGCACCAGGAATGCAGGAGACAAGACTGACAAGACAAATCCACAGATCATTTCACGGTTTTTTCCATTTTTTTCCCTGGTTTCACAAGGTTTGCAAGGACCGTGTGCCGACACCTCAGTCAGCTTCAAGACTTGCCCAGTGCACCGGGTCAGTACGTGCCTTTCGTTAGGCAGTGCCGGGTCTCCGCCCCAACGCAGGGCCTGGCGCCTGGCACCACGTTCCCCACGTCAAGATGTTTAGCGTTGGCCCCATTGGCACATTTGGCACCAGGTTCCCAGCTGGACCATACCAAAATGGCACAGTTGTTCCCATGCCAAAAGCGATGCAAGCGCCTGCTCCATGTGGAGGAGTGATTTCAAGCAAGTTGTTTCATTCTGTTTAGATGGTCATTTTTGTCTCCTACGTTCTCATACACTTACGTAGATTACGTAGTAGGTGAGATGGGATTGTCTTCTGTTTCAAACACTATGCATTGCATCTGTGTATTCCGCACCAGTAATATTTTTCTGATGAGTTTCAAAGCTGGTTGGCGTTTCCCATCAAGATGGGATTCTGCACTTTTCTTTGGGTGCTTCAATATCGTCTGGACTCTGGTGGTTTCTCAACTCGGTGTACCCTCAGACTTTAATGTGGGGATGTTCAAAGGCAATCTGATCTGTCTTGTGGTGGAATCGGTGACTTGCTCCCTGACCTGCTCTCTTCACTCCATCACATTGTTTGAGATTTCCACTGTGCTTGTAACAGGACCATCGCTGAGAGGGGCATCAGTGCTGTCCATGCCTGTCCGAAGCTTACTTTGGCATGCATGGCAGTACTGTCAACATCCAGCAATCCGATAGGAATCGGCGCTTGATTTTTGACTGCAAAGGAATTAGAAGTGTCTTGATTTCTTCATTTTTTTTAAAATCTGCCCCATGCAATTTTGGCAATCTGAGGCGGACAACAGTCTTCAAGCTGAAGTCCTCCAGACAGCTTTGAGACCCGTTATATGGATATGTGTGTATGAGTTTCAGGTCTGACATCTCCAAAGTTAGCAGATGTTAGCCGACATTAATGCTATAAAGATATAGATATCATTAGATATCAACGAATCATGTAAGGCAATCACAGAAGATTTGCTTCAGCATTCGGGTGCCAGGTGGCAAGGCGCCAAGCTGCCGAAGCCCGAGTTCAGGAACTTGAGGCTGGCTGAAAGACTCAGGAGATCTCAAAAGCTCTAAGATTGGCAAAGGAAGCAAGAATTTCAGGGAGAAACCATTATAAACATATTTCCAATGGTTATCTCATAATATACCATTATAATATTCACCATTAATTTCCATTTCTGCATATTTCGATGTGACCATTCGACGGCTGAAGAGCGAGATTGCACGGCAGGCACTGGTCTCCCGCCTTCAAAGTCGGGTAGCTGCACTTGAAGGACGTCCAGCTCCGAAAGGCTGGGGTCAGCCCTGGTTGTAACGTAAGTTATATGATGTTTTTTTTTCTCCAGTCTGGTTTCTTGGCTCTTGTGGCTTTCGTGGCTTTCGTGGCTTTCGTGGCTCGTGTTGCTTTTGGCTTCTTTGCTGTTTGCCTTTTGCGGCTTCTTAGCAGTATGCTGCAACTATTGTGCAGACAAAGAGAAAACCATCAATTACTGTAGAAAGATTCAAAGGACAATAACAGTGTTTTATAAGAAAAACAAGATCCAAACAGATCCAATAATAGAATTCACAGGAACACTTTGATAACATATTCAATGAAACTGTTTTCACCCAACATGGTTGTGCTGCAACCTACATTCTACATGTTCACAGGGAGCATGTTGTGCATTAGATAGACCCCAAGTACCATATTCAACCTACAGCATTAAATGTGAGAATAGGTATTGTCATTCTGCTTCTCTGCTTAAATCCAAGTTTGCACACTTGTAAATACCAGTAGTACCGCACAAGGCGGTGGCGGAAGTTTCAAAAATAGGAAACCTATAGGAAGGGCTGGTTGTTGTGACTCACGGATGGCGGAGCTAATCCACTGATGAACCGAAAGGTGGTTGGAGTTGTGTTTTCTGGAGTGGTTGCAATGGTTGCAGTGGTCACCTCACCACAACTGCTGGATGTAGGGTGGTGTAGTGCAGTTGTAGTTATAGTTGTAGTGTAGTGGAGTTGTAGTTGTAAGTTGCAGTTCGAATTGTAGTGTAGTGGAGTTGTAGTTGTAAGTTGCAGTTCGAATGTAGTGTAATTAGTGTAGCGTAGTGTTGTGTAATGTAGTGTAGTTGCAGTTGCATCTGTATTTGTAGCTGTAATGTACTGCAGTTTAATTAGTGTATTGTAGTGCAATGTAATGTAGCTGTAATTGTAGTTGTAACTGTGGTGGTGGTGGTGGTGGTGGCGGTAGTGGTGGTGGTGGTGGTGGTGGTGGTAGTAGTAGTAGTAGTAGTAGTAGTGGTAGTGGTAGTGGTAGTGGTAGTGGTAGTGGTAGTGGTAGTGGTAGTGGTAGTGGTAGTGGTAGTGGTAGTGGTAGTAGTAGTAGTAGTAGTAGTCGTAGTAGTCGTAGTAGTCGTAGTAGTCATCGTAGTAGTAGTAGTAGTAGTAGTAGGAGTAGGAGTAGGAGTAGGAGTAGGAGTAGGAGGAGGAGGAGTAGTAGTAGTAGTAGTAGTAGTAGTAGGAGTTGTGGTAGTAGTTGTAGTGTAACTAGTGTAGTGTAGTGTAATTAGATGTAATTAGTGTAGTGCAGTGTAATTAGTGTTGTGTAATGTAGCGTAGCATATTTGCACTTGTAATCCCAAACTAAAGGCCGTTATATTATCGGCGGTGATTTCAATGCTCGGCTCCATTACGTGAGGGAACATGAGAAAGATGTTTGCGGACCATTTATCATTGGAAGGGGGAATGATTAGGGCGACGCCTCGTCTGGACCCCCCCAAAGCCCCTCGTCTGGACACTCCCCCCCGCTCCCCCCTCTCGCCCCTCTCGCCCCTCTCGCCCCCCTCTCGCCCCCCTCGTTCCCCCTGCACTCCCCCCTCTCGCCCCCCTCCTCCTCCTCGCCCCCTCTCCTCTCGCACCCCCTCGTGTCTCCCCCACATCGGATCGGCTCCCCCTCTGCGCCCCCTGTCTCGCCCCTGCTCGTTCGCCTGCCACCTCCGCCCACCCTCAAATCGCCCGCCCTCATCGCCGACCCTTTTTCTCGCCCCTCTCTCAGCCTCACCGCCTCTCAGGGCCCCCAATCTCTCTCCGCCCCTCGCTCGCCCCCACTCGCGCCCCCCCCGTTAGTAACCGAGGGAACAGGGTCTCCCCTTGTCCTTCCCCCCCTCTCGCCCCCCTCTCCTCTTCGCCCCCCTTTCTCGCCCACCCTCCGTCCCCCGTCTCGCCCTCCTCATCGCCCCCCCCCTCTCGCCCCCCCTCTCGCACCCCTCTCGCCTCCCTCTCGCCCCTCTCGTCGCCCCCAGGGTCATCGCCCCCTCTCGGCCCCCTCTCCCGCTCGCCCCCTTTCGCCCTCCTCTTGCCCCTGTCTCTCCCTCTCGCCCCCACTCCGCCTCCCTCTCCGCCTCTCCTGTCACCCCCTCTCCCATCTTCGCCCCCTCATCGCCCCCTCTCGCCCCTCTTCCTCGCCCCCTCTCGCCCCCTCTAACTCTCCCCTCTTTGCGCCTTTTCGCCTTCCTCTGGAGTCCCGTTCTCGCCCTCTCCCGCTCCTGTCCCTCCCCCCCCCTCTCGCCCCTGTCTCGCCCCCCTCTGGCCCCCCCTCTCCTCCTCTTGCCTCTGCCTGCCCTCTCGCCCCCTCTTTTGTAGCCCTTTTTGACATCGGACGTCACTTTAGCGTAGCGGGCGTGGTCCTGCCCTCTCCTATCCACGGCCTCCGTCTCGCCCCCTCTCGCCCCCCGCGAATCCATCGATCCCTCTGGCTCCCGTGCACTTTTGTGTGGCATGCGTTGCACTCGGTGACACCCAGTCTGCGTTTGCATGTGGCGCACATGGCACCGGCCTGTCTGGTAGCGCGCTTGGGCGCAGTTGATGTCGCTGCCGCCGCTGCCCTGACGTCTACATTATACTGTGGTTCACTGTGACAACTGACGTCACTCACTGTGTCGTGCGTCTGGCGTCCTCCTGCCCTCTTGTGTGGGCACCTCTCTCGCCCCCGCTCGCCCCCCTCTAGGCACTATATATAGTCCCTCTCTCTGGCTCCCACGCACCTTTTCGGCAGCAGGCGGGGAGCTGACATCCACGCTGCGGTTGCGCGGCAGGCATGGCACAGGTGGCACTATATCTTCGCAGATATGGCACCTGTTGACATTTGCCTTTCTTTTGTGGCCCTTTTTGCCATCTGACGTCACTTTAGCGTAGCGGGTGTAGTCCTGCCCTCTCCTATCCACGGCCTCCGTCTCGCCCCCTCTCGCCCCCCGCGAGTCCATCGATCCCTCTGGCTCCCGTGCACTTTTGTGTGGCATGCGTGGCACTCGGTGACATCCAGTCTGCGTTTGCGTGTGTGGCGAACATGGCGCCGGCCTTTCTGGTGGCGCGCTTGGGCGCAGTTGATGTCGCTGCCGCCGCTGCCCTGACGTCTACATTACTGTGGCTCACTGTGACAACTGACGTCACTCACTGTGTCGTGCGTCTGGCGTCCTCCTGCCCTCTTGTGTGGGCACCTCTCTCGCCCCCGCTCGCCCCCCCCTCTAGGCACTATCCCTCTCTCTGGCTCCCATCACCTTTCTGCAACAGGCGGGGAGGTGACATCCACGCTGCTGCTGCGGCGCAGCCGTGACACAGATGGAACTACGTCTTTCCCAGATATGGCACCTGGTGACATTTGGCTTTCTTTTCTGGTTCTGTTTGACATCTGACGTCACTTTAGCGTAGCGGGCGTGGTCCTGCCCTCTCCTATCCATGGCCTCTGTCTCGCCCCCTCTCGCCCCCCGAGAGTCCATCCCTCTGGCTCCCATGCACTTTTGTGTGGCATGCGTGGCACTCGGTGACATCCAGTCTGCGTTTGCGTGGCAGTTGTGGCGCACATGGCGCCGGGCGTTCTGGTGGCACGCTTGGGTGCTGTTGATGTCGCTGCCGCTGCGGCTCTGACGTCTACATTTCGACTGTGGTGCACCGTGACAAGTGACGTCACTCACTGTGTCGTGCGTCTGGCGTGGTCCTGCCCTCTTCTGTGGGAACCCCTCTCGCCCCCTCTCGCCCCCCTCTAGTCCCTGACTCTGGCTCCCATTGACTGTTGCTTCCCTCACACCCCTGTCGCCTCCTCTCGCCTCACACTTCCCACACCCGCTTGCACCCTGGTTCCCCCTTCTCCCCCCGTGCCCCTTCGCCCCCTTTGCGCCCTCCCCCAGCCATGTCTCCGTTCCCTTCCCTGTCAACGAAGTGCTATGTCAAGCGCAGCTTTTGAATTTGTCATTCATGTTGTTGTGTATTTCAGAATGGAAGACTTAGAAAGCCAGTAATTAGTACTTAGTGACATTGCACATGTTGAACGATCGTCAAACAACCCGCAGAGGGAGTATGCAAGATTTGATACCAATGAATGTAATGGTTCAAGGGGGGCTGGTTGATTTGATACCAATGAATGTAATGGTTCAAGGGGGGCTGGTTGATTTGATAGCAATGAATGTAATTGTTCAAGGGGGGCTGGTTGATTTGATACCAATGAATGTAATGGTTCCAAGGGGTGCTGGTTGATTTGATGCCAATGAATCTAATTGTGCCTCTCGCCCCCCTCTCGCCCCCTTCCACCCCCTCTCGCCCCCTCTCGCCCCCCGTCCATGTTAGAATTTGCTCTGACCCTCTGGCCCCCCTCTCACCCCCCGATCCATACCAATGAATGTAATGGTTCAAGGGGGGCTGGTTGATTTGATACCAACGAATGTAATTGTTCAACGGGGGCTGGTTGATTTGATAGCAATGAATGTAATTGTTCAAGGGGGGCTGGTTGATTTGATAGCAATGAATGTAATTGTTCAAGGGGGGCTGGTTGATTTGATACCAATGAATGTAATGGTTCAAGGGGTGCGGGTTGATTTGATAGGAATGAATGTAATTGTTCACGGGGGGCTGGTTCATTTGATAGCAATGAATGTAATGGTTCAAGGGGGGCTGGTTGATTTGATAGCAATGAATGTAATGGTTCAAGGGGGGCTGGTTGATTTGATACCAATGAATGTCATGGTTCAAGGGGGGCTGGTTGATTTGATACCAATGAATGTAATGGTTCAAGGGGGGCTGGTTGATTTGATACCAATGAATGTAATGGTTCAAGGGGGGCTGGTTGATTTGATAGCAATGTAATGAATGTAATTGTTCAATGGGGGCTGGTTGATTTGCTAGCAATGAATGTAATTGTGCCAGGGGGGCTGGTTGATTTGATAGCAATGAATGTAATTGTTCAAGGGGGGCTGGTTGATTTGATAGCAATGAATGTAATTGTTCAAGGGGGGCTGGTTGATTTGATACCAATGAATGTAATTGTTCAAGGGGGGCTGGTTGATTTGATGCCAATGAATGTAATTGTGCCTCTCGCCCCCCTCTCGCCCCCTTCCACCTTCTCTCGCCCCCTCTCGCCCCCCGTCCATGTTAGAATTTGCTCTGACCCTCTGGCCCCCTCTCGCCCCCCTCTTCGCCTCCACCCACCCTCTCTCGCCCCCTCTCACCCCCCGATCCATACCAATGAATGTAATGGTTCAAGGGGGGCTGGTTGATTTGATACCAATGAATGTAATTGTTCCAGGGGGCTGGCTGATTTGATAGCAATGAATGTAATTGTTCAAGGGGGGCTGGTTGATTTGATAGCAATGAATGTAATTGTTCAAGGGGGGCTGGTTGATTTGATACCAATGATTTTAATGGTTCAAGGGGGGCTGGTTGATTTGATACCAATGAATGTAATGGTTCAAGGGGGGCTGGTTGATTTGATAGCAATGAATGTAATGGTTCAAGGGGGGCTGGTTGATTTGATACCAATGAATGTAATGGTTCAAGGGGGGCTGGTTGATTTGATACCAATGAATGTAATGGTTCAAGGGGGGCTGGATGATTTGATAGCAATGAATGTTATGGTTCAAGGGGGGCTGGTTGATTTGATACCAATGAATGTAATGGTTCAAGGGGGGCTGGTTGATTTGATACCAATGAATGTACTTGTTCAAGGGGTGCTGGTTTATTTGATACCAATGAATCTAATTGTGCCTCTCGCCCCCTCTCGCCCCCTTCCACCCCCTCTGGCCCCCTCTCGCCCCCTCTCGCCCCCCGATCCAAAAGCCATCTGACCTTCTGTACCCCTCTCGCCCCCCTCTCGCCCTCTTCCACCCCCTCTCCCCCTCTCGCCCCCCGTCCATGGGAGAATTTGCTTTGACCCTCTGGCCCCCTCCTCGCCCCCCTCTCGCCCCCACACACCCCCTTCTCGCCCTTCTAGCCTTTCCAAAAGCCCCTCGTCTGGACCCCCCTTCTCGCCCCCTCTCGCCCCCTCTCGCCCCCTCTCGCCGCCCTCTCGCCCCCTAAAATGGGGGGGTCCAGATGAGGGGCTTTGGGGGGGTCCAAGTGAACCCCCGGCCTTTGTTTTGAGGGCAATTTTCAATGGACATCTGGGGGGCGAGCACACCGCGGAATATGTGAAGGGCTCTTTTGGTTTCAGGGACCTTTCTCCAAGTCGTCTGGTTCAGAATCTAAGACCAGCCACTAAGTGATGGTTGTTCTTTTGTGAATCTGGCCCCGAGAGGTCCATCGATGAGTAGCTCGTGAGATATTCAAAGATGGCAATGATGAGTAGAGTAGGGTGACTGTTTCTGGCACATGGATGCACATGGGACAAAAATCGAGGTGCGCCCCACAGATGAATTTTCTCTGGTAAACGTTTACATAACTATGGAAAGATCCACCATTTTTAATAGGTAGATCCACTATTTCTATGCCCATTTTCTATATCGCAAACTGTTAGTTTACCAGATGAATATCTCATATCCTACTAGTAGACTCTTCCGTCAGCCCGTCAGCGACCCAATGATTCGACCGCTAGCCAACTGCACACCTGGGGGTTTTCAAAATTGGGCACCTCTCCGACAATGGTCTATGAAAAATCTGTATTTTACAGCTATTTTTCAATCGTTTTCCCATGGTTTTCCCATTAAATGATTGATGGTCTTTGTTTTTTTCACCACAATTTCTGGAGGTTTCGCCAGGAGTGGCCGCCCAGGACACTCAACGGCAAGCCGCTGGTCTTAGATCATCTGCTGGGAGTGAGTCGATTGCAGGACGGGCTGGGCCATGTATTAGAATATATTTACATCATTTTACATCATACACATACGACAGACATACACACATATTACATAGCTATATATATATATAATCAATCTAATATTATACACATTGATATGCATATGTTCATATGTACTACCTTCCATGTACTTAGATGGATGTATCCAACGTTGTTGGTCATGTCCTCGGGTTGAATACTGCTTGGTGGTGTTCAGTGTTGGCTGAGGTCTCTAAGGTATTCTCTGTGGCAATTCTCTGTGGCAATTCTTATCCTCCAACAATCCAGCCTGACAATGGAATGTCACCCATTTTTGATCATTCACGAATTGAACATGGTAATTCTCTAGAATTATCAGAGGTGTACGGACATTTCGGTATTGAGCAGTTAAACAACTGGATTAGTGAATCTCCAACTTTGATGGCTTCATCCAAACTTTGATGGGTTAAAGATGGTTAAAGAGTGTTAAAGTATAATTATGATCCATTTTGGTGGTCAAACAATACATTTCGGTGACTTTTGGATGGCCAAACAAGTTCCCCGAAAAACGAATGCCGGATCTTCAGCGCAGGAAGTGCTGACAGCCATTCTGCAGCACCTCAATGTGCAAGATGAGAGGAGTGAGACGGAGACGATGGGAACGTGAGCCGAGACATCGAACACATCGGATCATCGAACGTCGGTTTAGCATTGGGGGAATTCGACCCAAAATGGACGTCTTCGAATGAGACCATTTTTGTATATTTTTCTGGTATAGACGTCTCTATGACGTCTCTCAATAGACAATTATTTTTTTCCCCGACCATTTTTTGAGATTGGTGAATTAGGTTGTACTCCGAATCCGTGATCGGTGCATGTTCGGATGATTTCTGGGATTTAACCAACTAGACACACGGATATCACGGATGATGGTCAGTTGGTTGTTGTGATTGTGAACTGCTGGTGATACCACCTTGTTTTTTAGTGATGTTTGTATTAATATATATATATATACATACACATACATAAGCTATACTATATGGACACATATACCTATTAACCAACCAGTATTTCATGCGATGGGATAGGGCTAGTTTTCGTGGGCTTCCCCAATGATTCCCAACTGTTCCGCTGCATTTGGCAAGAACTACTGTACCTCTCTGTGTTTGGTCCTGTATCATTAGCCAGATGAACATTCCAATTCTTGTACAGAGTCGGTTTTTCGACAATTTCCGCTTCGGTGTTTTTTTGGGGGGGACAAAAATCCCTATCCATAGGATCCATGAATGGTATATATGCTAACATTGGGGGTATATTGATGGTAAATGTTACCATATATAGCAGCACCATGGATCCTATGGGCTATGATTTTCCAGCGCCAGGATGGCTAGCCTTACCTCTGAGCTCGGCGAGCTCCAAGCATCTCAGGTGTTTTGGGAGGTTCGTACCCTCTGGTAAATTAACATAGACCCTACAAATAACCAATGTTTAGTGGAAACTAATCTGGCAACCCCTATCTACCAGGGTCTATGTTAATTTACTGGAGGGTAATATTTTGGGAGTTTCGTAACATCCCCACATTATGATTAATCCAAGTTACAAGTTAGTGGTCATGATTTAAGGATAAGGAGAAACCAATGGTGACGTTTGGGCTTCCTCCAGTTGACTTCTGGAACCAGTAGCGGTTTCCCACCTTGTTAGCCCTTTCTTTGTTGATGCAAGTTTGGTCCCTTCAACTGTCCCATGTTTGCTGGTTTGGGGCCGTGTTTTGGGGGGCCAAGTTTGAAGTATTTGAAACCCTGGGTGATTGGCTGAGTCAGGGATAGTTGAACATCCCTAGAATTCTAGAATCGAACAATTTATGAGCCCAGATACATCATGATACATCCAGATACTCAAAATCTCAACATTGTTGTGTCGTAGCAGTACTATTGTGATACTCCAATCGACATGGGCGCTTATTTGCGCGTTGAAATCGTGACAGAACACCTGGCTTTTCCACCTTGAACGAAATGGGTTGGGAGGTATATACACGACTATTTTTGGTATTTCCTAAACTGGAGGATATCCCATAAACCATGGCTTTCAATACAAATGTATATATATATATATTTTTTGGATGATTGGGGGTAGCCCTGTGACTTAGGAAACCTCCATTTCATACTATTGAATACTATTTTGCGCTCTTGACGTTCCCACCTTGCAAACCAAGATCGACGATTGACCTTTCGCCTGCGAAATTGAATACAAGTCCTGGTTACTACACTGACTACCCTTGTTGTCATCAAAAATGCAATCACCAGATACTCGTACTATCAGAAGACAATAAAGGGGGATGTCAACAACAAAACTGGGTAGATATGATCAAATTCTCTGACAACTCCCTATTTTGATTGGTTTGATTGTTGCCAAACATCCCCAATTATGTCCATACACTATATATCTACATACAATATAAACTTATGCATGATAGATGTGTTATACATACATATTTAATACATTATGTGTATATATTATATATAATATACATATATATATATATAAGCTTATCTACTGTAGATAATTTATCACCGATCTTCGAGCCGCTTTTCAGGAGCGGCTGATGGAGCGACAGCGGGAGGAGTTTGTTGAGCTGCATTTCTTCGAGCGGAAGATCACCACTTCAATCGGAAGATCAGCAGCTATACCATAGCAGAAAGACCATTTACCATGATGGAAATACAATCTTTTTGATAAGCAAAAAAGCATAGCAAACGCTTGAATTTTGATGAGACTCATCCCTCGAAATGGAAATGCTGTAAACTTGGGGGATTGTCTAGCAACATGAGGATTGTCTACGCATCGAACATGGGGGGATGTAACAGTTGAACCAATATGAACCAATGATGGTCTGATTGGTGGTTTGAGATACCCTCTGGTAAACTAACATAACTATGGAAAATCACCATTTTTAATGGGAAAATCCACTATAAATGGTCATTTTCAATAGCTATGTTAAATTACCAGAGGGTATGTTCTCAACTTTCAACCATAGAAGTGGGTTTGTGATCCCCATCGACGAGCCAAGGAGTCGTTAAAAAAGTGGATAGTTGTCGCCGTTGTCGCCATAGTTAGAGGAGTTCTGAAGTTCTGTCCCAACTTGTGATTGTTATAAGTAAAAACTCTAACTGTGATTGTTATAGAGATATGAATGGGACATAACTCCTCTAACAATTGTTACAAGTGAAAACCCGTTTATATCTCTAGCTGTACCCCCAAGTACTAGCTGTGACATCATGGACATAAAAAAGAGTACCCCATCATCTACCGACATGCTGGGAATCTACATACTGGGGTTTACACAACCATAGGTCCATCCAGAAAAATCGGATGCAATAGGGGTTTAAGGTTACCTCTATTGTTCTAGGTCAATCTTGGATGGGTACAAACTAATCCTAACTAGTCTTTTGGTATCAGTGGGATTATCTACGTTGACCAGCTAAGATAAACTGTCATTTTTTGCATGTATCTAAGATTTGCCATGTGTTGGGGTTGTTTTGCAAGTTAACAACCCCTCAACAGTGTTGACCTTAGCAACCCATCATGTGAAGCTGACCTCAACAGAAGGATGTCTGACCATTTGACCCATCGAGGCGATGCACTGATTTTCATTGGTGACATATGAACTAGTCCTCGATGAACATGGCATCACACCTTTTCACACCAAGATTGAGATTCTTTTTATGTCAAATCCACATTTTGAATGGATAAATTAATATATAACTATATAATTATACATATATATATATATATATATCTATCCACATTTTTCAGGGTCAAAATTCACATTTTTCAGGCTTTTCAGGGTCAAAATTTACACGAGAATCCAGGAAAACCCCTACGAACCCCCCATCATTTCAGGCAACAAATCATCCGCAGGACCAAGCCATGCTCACGGCACAGCTGTCAGCGCAGGCAGGGCCGTAGGCACTGTGGGTTTGAAGGTTGGCTGGTCTTAAAAAAATGGCGACACCAACATCCAATGAGAATGCATCGTTTCAGATATATCACAATTTTGCGATTTTGAGATATAGATATATCACATTTCCAGATCAACATGGCAATTTTGGGATATATCATATTTTCAGATACACCGATGTAGCAAAAGAATGGATTCATAATCCATGAAACTTCTCCAGGAGAAGTTTTTCCGATCCCAGCAGTACATGGACAGGTTCAGAGTGAGGTTCTCACCTTAAACGGTGATGAAATTGTGTTTTTTTTTGACCCCAAGTTCTGCTGATGTTTACAGATGTTCACAGAGGACACAAACAGCCCTATTGAAGCTGTTTAGTTTTTTTTAAACACAAATCTTTGCTGTTGGCAACTTTGTTGGCTTAACATCTCTTATCTAAGCATTCTGAATCCCCCACAGCCGTGACTAGGAGCACCATCTTGCTGAGCTGGTCCCTGGACGCAGTGATGGAATCATGGGACATCATGGAGATACAACAGGGAAATATCATATGATTTTAATGGGAATAAGATCATGGGAATACCCATAGCTGATTGGAATATATTAGGATATAATAGCATATAATAGCCATATAGAATGATTGATCATGTTGGTAATGGCTTAAAACCTTATGACTTTCTATACGAATTGGAGAGAATGAAGATCCAAGTGCCAGCTATTTTGGTGTCAAGCAGGGTACGAGGCTTTTGCCCAATAGCCATGCTTGTGTGTACATGGTCATTTTATATGGGCCAGGGTTAACCATATTTGTGAAGCCCCTTGGGTTGGTTTGGATGGAACAGGCTTCCAAAACCCACAAACGTGGCTACCAGTCTAACATACTGGCTAAAAAGTGTGATTTTGCACCAGCGTAACGCTGCACCCGCACAAAAAAAGTTGCAGTTACAAGAAGATTCCAAATCACTAATCAATCAAACCACCAATCAAAAATTGCTAAACCACCAATAAAAAATTGCTTGAATTGATGCCAAACCACTGGAGAGCCACGCGGATTTACTGTATTCATCGCCACGGTGAACGCTGCAAGGAAATTTTCCTGGGCAACTCACGTCATATGAATTTTCCATGAACATCTGTCAATGGCAGGTGATGATTGTGTCAAATATCCTTGTTTTCTTGGGACTTGCACTACCAGTCTATGTGGCATTGCTGATAACACACATCACATACCATCAACAAACCAATTTTGTGGGACTTTTTGTCCAGTCTTCCCGCTCGGTGATCCACAATGATTCAAATTGTCCTATGTTTTTGGGGGGTTGGGGAAAGTCCCTCCTCCAAAAAGAGGGGTCCTTGCATTTTCCCATTTTGATGGGATAAGAATGGCTTCCCAACCCATTCTAAACCCGCTGAAAGGATCATATTGACAGAGGAAATGTCCGCAGAACTCTGCAGAATCTGCTCGAAAAAAGCGCCTTCCACTGAGGACGAACGCACCCGAGCTGCCAAAGATCTAGCGCAAGAGGTGCGGGTGCCCCTTGCACAGCCTGGTGATTGAACCGACTGAAACACCTCAGTTGTTTTGTTTTGTTCGGTATCTAAAGCTAGCTATGAGACCTTCCCCCGTTGCTGGTGGGATTGAGCTGATGTTTCTATTCAATGTCAAAAGTTGTATCAATTTTCATAGTAATATATCACCATCTTAGGAAACTGGTGGTCTACCAATCTGGGGTTTCCACTGAAGCAACTGGTCATTGGGCAAGTATGAGTGAGCAAAAAATGGCGGATATCCACAACCATTGAAAAAAACTAATCGACATTGTGATGTTTCTTCCCCCTGCGGTTACCCTGGGGTAGGCGTTCACACGTAGAAAACCTATGGGGAAATCCTCGGAAAATTATCTACAATGGCAGGCATTGCGTGGTGATACCTTGAGACAGGTGGGGCAGCTGCCGTCAGTTCGGAAGGTGCCTCCATAGTTAAGTTGATTTGTAACTACGTGAATAACTAAGATTTTCGGTGGATGGATCTAGAATTATAATATATATATATAAATTATATGCTAGTAGTCTAGGTTCGAAACCAACGTATACCTGGGGCCTTCTTGTATCTTCTTGTTTGTGACCATTGGTTCTTGTGTGCACCGGGCCTGACTCACACATGGCACCTTGCTACATCACGGACACGTTAGTGTTGAGCAGTGAAAAGAACAATCAGAGGTTCAGGTTAGTAATATATCATTATACCATATGGTATATAGATTACCATAATGATGTATAGTATACTGTACTATAGTATATATTCATGTTTTAAAAAAAAGTTCTTTTCTGTGTGAGCTTTCATGAGGGATTTGATACTTCACCTCCATGCAATGGTCACCAAAATTTTTCAGGGGGCGAAAGCACCAGGTTCTGAATCGTTGGGCAGTGGTGAAGCAAATGCACCTAAAACTAGGAGGCGAACATCCACACTATTCTGTTGCTGTTGTTATTTTCTGGATGGTGGTTTCAGCATGTTTTCAAAAATTCTTCCCAACTAGAATCCGTATAGACTTGTATTTTGGGGATTGGTTGGCTTAATCACCAACAGTATCAGCGAATCACCACTTACTAGATGACCAAATGCCCCAAAAGCTCCAAAAAAACATCCAAAAACATCCAGAACACAGGTACCCCCAAAATCTCGTGTATAACCCCAAACCATCATAACACATTTTTTTTGATATATTTTTCTGGGTCGCCAGGGTCCCAAAATGGGTGAAAGAATGGTGCCAGGGAGCGCGGCGGCCTCGCATCTTGGGCTTAGGCGGCTGGGCTTTGGAGATGGAAATATTACGAAGGAAATATGCGGTTCAAAGATCTGTTGGTGAACCATAGTGATACTATGATATACTATGATATACCATGATATACTATGGTATACTATGGATACACTATTATATACTATTCTATATTATTAGTTGGCTTCACTATTGAAAATAATTGGCTTCACCATATGTTTAATACTGTTTGAATATAGAAGATAGATGTTGATACAAATCTGGTTGTCTGCAAAGCTGGTCATTTTTCCTGTCCGATCCTACTTGTGAGCCATGATTCCTGGCAGGTAGCCCCATGCGACGTCTTCCAGAAGAGGCCGAGGAGGAGGATGCTGCAGGCTGGGGGAAATGATGTAAAAATGTAACACATTGTTTAGCACCAAACATTTTATTACATGTAATACATAAATACATATCTAAATGCACATGCTGTATATATATATATATAAACAAATGCATATGTATATATATATATATGCATGTTTAATGGGTATATATACATACACGTATATATTATAGGGATATTATATAACGTTGCTTAGCCATCGAATGTGGGAGGTCGCCATTTTTCAAAGAAAGTGTTTTTTTTTTTTCCCGGACGCATGGTGTTTCCAGTGGTTTCATCCCCTAACTACCAGGGGAGTGGGTTATTCACAAAATCCAATGGTTAAAACCATGGTTAAAATGTCATTTTTTTCCCCAAATGGCCATAATTTCACAACTTAGTAAGGTACTCCACATTTTGGGACCCAATTACAGTATCAACCCTGAATGGGTCAGCCATTCCAGACATTCAGAAGCTGGTTGAATGGAGATGATGGAGATGATGGAGATGACTGGGGCTGAGCTATGTTACTCTTGTTGGAATCTCCTCTTGCCCAGCGCAGGATTGGCACGGCTGTGTCTGAAAAAGACTCGGTAGACCGATTTTCTGGCCGTTTGACGGGGAAACGATAGCAAACCGTTCAACCATTGGATTTTGGGGCACAATATGTATACATATATATATATATATATGTATATACATACTATATATTATACATATATATATATATATGCGCATGTATACGTATATATATATATATAGACAGACCCATATTAGCAAAAGGGGTGAGCAACCATTGCGAGTCGGAATACATGACTTCGATACTCACATTGGTTCGCAGGTGAATCACGAAAGCAGGTGGGGTCGCCTAGTGCCCACCCTGGCGGCATGGGCATGGCCGGCTCGAAATCATTGGTGAATTGGTTGGGGGTTAACTCACGGAGTTTGAAACGGGGACTATGAACGGGAAATGGGGATAGAGATGTTAGTCAAACAGTATTTTATGGGGTAGGAACCTTGAATCCATCCTTTTACTATAGATAGATGGAGTCTAGTTCTGGCAAATAGGTTTGGGCATGATGAGTGGGTACTGGTGAGTAGATTCTTGATCATGTCCTATTTTTCGTCTTCTAAACAGACTCTCATTCTTCTTGCATTCCCAGCATTCCCAGGATTCCCATACTTTTGCAGGGCACATCAACGTTATTTACTCACTGGCCATCTCAGGAACCTAAATTGGAGGTACCTACTATATATAAGGCCTATTTTTCAGGCCTATGTAAGGGAACATCCCTAGAAAATATGGCCTTATATGGTACAGTACCTCATCAGTCACACCTTTCTTGCTGGAAAGAATAAATATCGCTACATTTAGCCTCTGGTAAACTAACATAGACCCTGGCATTCCTCGGGCTTAGGGGGTTGGAAGATGAGTTTCAACTGAACAATGGATTCAATGGCTATTTTCAGGGTCTAAGTTAATTTACCAGAGGGTAACCACTATCACAGTAACCACTATAGACCATAGGTAATATAGGGAAACCACTATTAACCATATTAACCACTATTATCCACTATCATTACTAAACCTCCATTGATCGCCCCTGCGCTGAGTTTGTTTTTTTTTTTTTCTGAGGTCACTGGAGGTGCCTCGGTTCCTTTGTCTTGGGCTCAGCACGAGACAAAGGGTGGTTGATAGCCAGTACCAATGGGGATTTTCAGCGTTTTAACATGTTTTAGCCATCAAAAATGTCAGGAGAAAAGATGATATAAGTGAATATCATCAACTCAATGATGATAATGATGGTTAGATGATTTGTGCAGGGATTGTACTTTTCTCCATATTTTGGGGATCACAATCCAGCGGGGAATCCTGTCAACCAGGATCTCATGCGGTTTGGTGAACCGAAACCATGAAACCTTGCTACTGATGAGACCCAGAAAAGCATGGGTCAAAATTTTTCATCGCCTATCATGGTTTGCAAATGTTTGCAAAAAGTTGGTTACAGTGGTCCAAATTTCGCGAATTGGACCGCAGATGGGCCATGAAAAATTGGGATCGCCATCGCAATTTGCGGAGACCCTGTGGAGGCCACCCAACCGCAATGGCATTGCACAATGGGACGCTGCTCACGTGTTGCACATTCGCGGTGGAGTGACGCTTGCTGTTTGGTACAGTAAAGACATGTCAAGCACTGTGCAGCGCACTCAAGATTTCAGGTAGAGGTAGTACAATAGAATATAGATGATATCATAGGATATTGTATATACTGTATATACGGTATATACGGTAAATACTGTATATACTGTATATACTATATATGATCTGGATAAATTACAAGGACCTGACGGCAATGTCAGTGTAATGATGGTTCGTAGGGCAAACTATCCCAACATATCAGAACTTTGAAAAGGTTGATGAATTATCAGAATTCATCCACGTGTGTATGTAACGTGTATATGTACAGGAGGTGCCAGAATTATAGAACGACATTAGGAGTACAAAAGTATGGTAAAATACCGTACCTTCGTACTCCTCCGTATCCCGATTCCGCGCGGATTCTGATCCTGTTCTAATTATTTTTTTTGTTCTATAATTTTTTGTTCTGTTCTATAATTTCTGGCACTGGCATGATATCTATTGCATATTTGTATACAGTACATAATTATAGAACGGTTTACGCACGATTATAGAACGGAAAAAATAATTATAGAACAAAAGTGGTAAATGTGGGAAAGATGGGGGAACACACAATTATAGAACAAACCAGAATTATAGAACGATGCAAAAAAATAGGAGTAAGTTAAGATATGTTTTTTTTTTCATACCTTCCGAGGAAAGCAGAATTATGGAACAACAGGGTACGGTAAATAACCGTGCCTTCGTACTCCTCAACTTCCGTTCTATAATTTTGGCACCTACCATACATACATGTACATATAATTACATATATATATATATATTATATATACTATATACACACACATTCATGTCTAGATGTCCTGTGCAAAAGGCATACCGCACTGCCGTTTTATGCATGTTGGGCAGGCCAAGGCAAACTGAAGCGTATGTTGGATTCCAAATGTAACAAGCAATGAACGTCCCTCCGAAAATTTGAGCGTTTGAAAACGTGACAAACCCAAAGCTGGGGAGAATATTCCCAAACCAGAAAACCATCCAAACTTTGGCCAGCCATGGGTAGGATTTAAACTTTAAAAGCATGTTCAAATGGTATTTTTTAAATATATTTTTATCATTGGGTTTCACATTCGACCCGACTTCGAGTCATGTGTTGGGCGGTTTCAAATCACCCATTGATTTTCGATTCCTCAAGTGATCCATCAGGTGGGTGAAGCTGACACCCCAAAACTGAAAGACTTGAATCCTCAACATGAAACTGATACCCAAAGAGTAGTTGTACATACTTGGTGCATGAAACTGGAAGATCATCTTCCAGACTACGAGTATGTACAAAGCACAACAGATTTTTGACCGACAATTTGGGTTCACCGGTTTCAGCCTCCGTTTTGTCTAAATTGCTTTGAGGTAGGTTTTTTTTTCTCCCCAAGCATATATCTCATTATATATGTTTAAACATGCTCTAGACATAATAGTGTGAGTCAAAACTGCTTCCAGAGCAATTCTTCCGCTGTATTTTTTTCCGCAGCGATATTGCAGTTCATGTCGAACTACACGTCAGCAGCAGCTTTCCGTCAGCCAAATGGAGAAACAAGATGAACAAAAAGAGAGAAATTGAATAGAACAGGAGAATCTGTGGCTGCAGGATAAGCTACTAACCAGCACCTATAACACGGGACCCGATGGTTTTGTGTACGTGAATCTCAAAACCAACGAAACGGCGGAGAAACAAACATCACAAAGGAGAAAACATACTTAAGGAGATCGGTCCCGTGACGCACAGCAGGGTTCGTGACCACTTGTCTCTCGCTTTGGAGAGAAAAACTAGAAAAAGGAGAAAGTAACAACCATGGAGTGACCGTGGTCTCCCGGCCCGCCTCTCGCCTTTGGCGGCCCCTGCGAGCTTTAGCGGCAACGTAATGGAGCTGATGTGGCTAGAAGGAAAATTTGCCTTGGCCCTTAAAATTGAAGAGGAGAAAGCTTAATAAAAATTCGCCACCGGTGATGTGTCATGGTTAGGTCGGAGCAGATGATAGCAGCTTCCTCTTGCCCTTGCTTAGAGGAATTTTGTAAATTTTTTCCGGCCATTTTTGGGATTTGTTGTCAAAAACTTAAAAAACACTCGTTTTGCCATGAGGGGAGATATTTGTTTTTCTCGTTTTTCTGCTCCCGCATATCTTTGGCTTCAGTTTGCTGTTGCAGAGTTGCTGATACTGGCTGCTTCGGCCATAATCAGAGAAAGGCTGCTTCGGCCTTTTTTACGAGTTATGTTGCTGAAATCGGTAACTGCTAAATGGGAGCGGCTGCGAGAACAGTGGCAAAGCCGTTTCCCATTGAACCCAGAGGATCCTTCTGCAGATTCTTGGCTGCAAGCTCGCAACTCTCAACTTACTTATATAATAGGTTTCAACTTAACTGCTCTGAGTCGTCCTGGCCTGACCCTGTTAAGCATTCTGCATGTCATTTACCAGATAATTTGCAGTCCCTGGTTCCTTCTAATACATTCGATTCTGTCTGTGTCTTTGGGCAAAAGAAGTAAACAGAATAGCGGCCACAACGCCAAATGATGCTGCTTTTTTGGATTACGCGCACAAGACGCGCTCCTTTTTGAAAGAGCAGCCGGCCCGAGTGTTTGGAGTTCAGGATCTGGACAGTGCTATCGAGTGCACCAGAAATGGATTGTTTTGGTGCTTTTCTCATTTAACTGATGAGAAGGAGATGAACGACGAATGGGCAGGGCAGATCATGATAGATTTGGACATCCTGACTACCATTCGTTTACTTCCCGTGGACAAGCGCCCAAGCAGCCACCTCATGACCGCAATGCCACAGATGTCACCGGGGCAACGACGCGTTCCTTTGACTGACTTCACCAAAAAGGAGTTTCAAGTGGCGATCCGGCTCATCAGCGTTTTGGAATATGTTCCAGATGAGTTTAGCAATTTCACTTGGTCCAAAATGCGGGAGGAATGGTTTGAAGACATGTTCAAAAAGGTTCAATCTTCTGTGCACTGAGTGCTGGTGGTCTTCAGAAGCTGTTTCGGCTTCAGGGGCTGTTTCGGCTTCAGGGGCTGTCGACGGTCGAGGCTGTTTCGGCTTCAGAGGCTGTTTCGGCTTCAGAGGCTGTTTCGGCTTCAATCTAACTTTGTCAGGGCATTTATTATATAATAGGATTTTCGCCCGCTGCTTCGGCTTGGCACTGAGATGACGCGCGGCTCTGTTAATTTATATTTTCCCCTTGTATACAGGGCTGCTTCAGCCGGAGCAACGACCAGTATAACCGGAAGAAAAGGAAGGGTGTGCTGGGGATGTCCCCGAACGGGTGTAAAAATTGTCACTATACAATGGGTATACCGTAACTCTGCATAGTAAATTGACTTCACAAATGTTTGATATATTTAACGCATGGATGAAATTGGAAAATGTTTCTGAATGTTTTTTTGAATGAAATGAAACTTGCAAAAAGCACATCGAAAGGTATCATATATCGAGTGCATCCAAAGTGCATCAAAAACAAAATAACATGGACCAACGTTAGGTTAACTAACTTCCTAATGAAATTCAAAAATCATAAACATAGTGCGTTCACTTATGCGAAAATTTTGGCGACAGCATTTGCCAACTTAACTTGGGAGGGTGGACAGTACACTTTAGGTCACGGGTAGTGTGTAAGAAGAGGGCGGCCTGACCTCTCCTTACGCAACTTGGGCGCGTCCCCGAACTGTGTAAGGAGCTGTCACAGAGAGGGCGAAACAAAAATTCCGCTACGCGGGTTGGTTTTTTGACCATCTGCCCTCTTTTTGCCGCTCCTTAGGCAGGTTGGGCGCGTCCCCGAACTGTGTAAGGAGAGGGCGAACTGACCTCTCCTTACACAGGGTCCCGGACACTTAGTGGTCTGCAGCGGTACTGCCCGCCTGAGCCCGCGAGGTTCATACATTTATTATTGTCCCACCATCAAAAAAAACAATTTTCAGATCGACTACCCGTGAACTTACGTAGGTTAATCTTGATCAAATTTTGAATTTACGTAGTTTTTCTAATCTTGATCAAAGTCACTGAACTTGTGACATGCATTTGTTATGTCTGGATGAACTAGACTGCACTCTTGATGCTCTTCTGCTATTTTCCATTTTCTCAAAATGAATGATTATCACCCGAAGAAAGTACAAATTGTCGTAAAGCCATCCCGATTAGTATCGATATAGCTCAGTACGTTGATTGTCCGAAGCCATTTCCAGTTCAAACATCGCGTCTGACTCCCGGCTGTTTCGGCCGGTGTGTCCAGCTGTTTCGACTGGGAAGCTGCTGGCTGTTTCGGCCAAGTATGGTACTGGTTCTGGATTGTGGTGGCGTCCTGTCAGACAGGCAAACAAAACATCCACCCAACTTCAATCTCCACCAAACTGCTGTGGATGGAGCTTTCCCTTTCGTTCATTGCTTCATACACAAATATGGCGAAAAGGAGCTGCATGGTGATACTGAGCCGGGTAAACAACTGAGGCGATGAAGGAAAGCAGGGGAACCG